TAATTTTCTTCCCCGTAATATAATAAAACATATACGGCTTGATATCATAATTTCATCGTACAGTCCGAAGAAAAATAAATTTTGTCTTTTTGACATTTCAACCACTGTAACACAGCCAGTCCTTAACCGATTTCCCAAATATATCTTGTTGGAATGGAAAAATCTCCTTGAGAGAAAAAAGAATAATATAAATCCGTTATAAAGTAAATAATTTATTCGCGTTTCAAATTGAAAATCTACGAGACCATGTTTTTCTCTACATTTAATACTAATTTTCGAAGTGATCCAGAAAAATCAAAGATATTTTCGTGTTCCAGGGACTCCAACTAAACATAATTGGTACATTGGAACCCCTGAATACATGTTTTTGTTGTTTTGTAGCACAGTGTAATGATCATTGTACTCAATGATTATCCAAAGTGTAAAATTACAGCCCATTTGGTTAAAATACGTGGCAAAACTTCTCAAAATACCGAACTTTGGTTTGCCGCTATATGGGGACTACCGTAAAAAATGGACCGATATATCTCATTTTCAATACCAAACATGCCAGAGGTAATAATATACAACATACTGTTGTAGTTACGTCCGTTTGTATTTCTTTAATTAGATCGTTTTTTGACATTAGATGTCTAAATTTTTGTGTGAACTTGTAGATTGATTAAACGAACAACAATCAAACAAAAACTCAATTTCGAATTTTTCTGTATATATGTACGTCCGTTTGCATTTATGAAATAAAAATTTTTAATAAACATTCAAACGAATCGAGGGCTGCTCAAACTATTATTATGATGTTTTAATTCTGTGACCACCTCTGTATATATTATACGTCGAAAACGTATGTCATATACGTGAGCCCTTCTTTGGCCATCACAAGTATACCTAGGGAAAACACATCCCTAAGAACTAATTGCTGTCCCTGTAATTTTTTCTTAAGCAGTGTAGTGTCATCATAGAGTCGCATTTGCCATTTTAATTGGTTAATTATTTATTTTTACTTTAGCCAAGCCGTTACACAAGTCAAACATTGTGCTGGTCAAAAAAAAGTTAAAACTATAAGCATAACTAATTTGCTTTTAAACAAATTACCATAGCAGCCATTAAAAGGAAGGGAGAGAAAAACACAAGTTTGTTTTTTTTTGTTTGTTTAATAATTTCATATAGTTTTTATTGGATGTTTCACTTTTTTGTTGTTGCTGTTGTTGTTGTCGGTTGTTATAATATGTATAATTTAATTAACTACATTTAAGTTTGTATCATTTTTTTCTTGGTTGTTTTAGAGTTTTTTGTTTTCTTGCTCTGTTTTTTTTTTCTGTGATGAAATTAAATTATATATATAATTTAATAATATTTATTTTGTTTATTTCAATTCGCAGTTACACGCATCGGAATCGGTGTAAAGTGTATCTTTATTTGTTTATTTTATTTTTTTGTTTGTTTGTAATTTGTTTCGTTTTGCTTTGTTTGAAAAAATATAAAATAAGAAACTTATATTTGTTGTTGTTATTATTGTATACAATAATTTTTACATTACATTATTTACATTTAAGTAACGCAGTTGTTGTTTTTAATATATTTATTTATTTATTTTTGAGAAATTTTGGACATAATTTTTTGTTGTTGTTTTCGTTTGTGGTCTTATGGCTAAGTTTAATCTAAGCTTAACTTAAAAAATATATGTATTTTGTTTTAGGTTTCCATTTTTTTTGCAGATTTATTTTACTTTTTTTTACTTAAGACTACTTATTCTCGTATCTTAAAATAACTTAGTTGCATTAATTTTTTCTGTTTTTCTTTTTTTAATTTTTCATTTTTTCTTTTCCTTTAATTTGTTTTTAAATTTTCTTTTAATTCGTAGAGTGTTTTTAACAGTTGTGGGAAATTTTCATGTTTTTGTTGTTGTTATTATTAATGTAATGTATATAAATATAAATTTTTATTTGTAATTAGTAAGAATTAAATATAATTCGTTGAACATGTTTTACAGTTTTAAATGGAAGTACGAAATATGTGGACTTAAAAAAATGAATGAAAAAATAAACACAAATACATATATAGGATTTATAAAGAATTGTGAATTTGTTAAAGCAAACGCAACGCTTCAATGCAATTGAAACTAAAAGCTTTCTCATGATGAGTTATTTTTTTTTTTTAATTATTTTCAATAATTTTGTAAAACAAAATTTAAGCTATTTAAAATATAAAACACATAAACAGATTGTAACATGAAAATAAATGGAAGTCCAGTTCAGAACGATATTCGTAGAGTAGAAGGGGGACGAGGAGCAAAAGGGGGATGTTCATATTCAAAATATTGTTTAGAGTGGAGAAAAACAATTTTGTATCGCTGTAGTGTTATTGTATATGTTTGGAAATTTCTACAACAACAAAACAATTTGTTCCCTTTACATATTCCTTAAAATATTACCTGGCCAGGGTATGTGAAAAGAAAATTATTTGTTAGAGCATATCGAAAAAAAATAACTACAAAGAATGCAATAGTATGTCCAAAAATTCTGACATTTTTGCAGTGTTCATGTGGCCGTAGAAAATCGAAATATTTTGAATAAATAAAATCTAATTTTTCAATTTCTATAAATTTTGCCTATTTTCAATGCTGTCAGTATTTGTTTATTATTTTTTGATGCCCTCAATTCAAGCGTTGAAACATTTTTTAAAATTAAGTCCATTTTAAACATACATAAAATAGAATTATTAAAAAATGAATCAACCTAAATTTTGCAGAGTATATTTTTTATGATAAGATAAATTTCAGGGAATAAATATATTTTTTAATTTTAAAATATTTTAAAAATTATATTGAAATGAATTCAGAATCTTTCCAAAAATTTATTCGCAAACTAAATAAAAAATATTAAACATACATTATAATAATGTATTTGGAAGTAAGATAATTACTAAATCTTTCGAAACATTTTATTAAATTGTTTTCACTATACGCTCTGCAAAATTTCAACTTGAGCTATTTACATTCATTGTCAACAAGTGAAAATTAATATCAAATAATTATTTTTTTCACACGAGAACTTTAAAGTTTTCTCCACAACAAATATTTTGCTTTCCATTGAGAAGAGAAAAGTAAAAATTCCCCCCATTAACCAAATGTAACAAATAAAGGTATGGGAACAACAAATATTGAGAATTAAAAAAGCAAGCAAAAAATCATGAGCTAATACATACATCATATTAATAATGATGATAATAATTAAATTGTAAGAAAGCAAATACGAAAAAAATACATATATTAAACATAAATATACAAGGTGTTTCGAAATGAATGCATAAAAAATTAATCAATTATATAAATGATAAAATCTGCTACGGTATTTCGTACTCAAATCCATTATAGTGGAGAATATAAATTTAATTCTCTTTTAAAACGATAATTTTGAAATGCAAAATAAAAATATTTGAAAGTACAGCTCAATTTATCACATATATAACACTTTTATCCACACATTTCGATACACTTTTTATAAAACACATCTAAGTACATTCGAGTTTTTATGAAATTAAGGAAAAAATTAATATTAAAAAAAAGTTGAGCAAATTTCAGATCATATGCCTTCTGGTATAAATTTTTTTTTGTAGATTTAAATAAAAATTAAATCCATTGATATTTCCTCACAACGGCACCATTGTTTTTTTTACTTTTCCATACAAAATGAACAACAACAACTAAAAAAAATACAATATTTATATAAATCATAACTAAACTTAACTGGGGGTATACAGCAAGTGGGGCTGAATATCGAATAATATAAAATTAAACTAGAAATTAATTTATGATATAGAAAAAAATACGCATACACACAAACATAATGTTCACGATAATAATCATAATAAGAATAGTAATAATGGAAAAATGCAAAAAAAAAAAAATAAAAATTAATTAACTTAACTAATATTAACAAAAAAAATGTATATATTTATTTTTTTGCATGTATTATATAAAGAAATACAACTACAAAAAAACGTATTTAAGTAAATTTATTTATTTTGTTTTAAATAATAATTTTTTAAAAAAATGGCAACATTCAAAAAACTTGTTTTCATTTTCGTTGATATCGTTACGAACTTAACGTATAAATGTGTATGTGTGTGTGTGTTTTTGTAAAATAAAACGCGTAATTGTAGTTGTGTTACAACAAAAACATTACTTTTTTCGAATTATTCATTTCGTAGTAGTTGTAGAAAAAAATTAAACCCCAACGACGAAATGAATGATGAAGTTGCATGAGTGATGATTATATGTGGTGGTGATGGTGATGACGATGATGGTGATTCCGTTTAAATGCCTCTGATTCTCAGCAAACCCATAAAATTGGCTGCATAATATTACTCGGGAGGGAGGGAGGGAGGGAACAAGTCTTTTGGGCAGGCATGGGAAGTTCGAGGATTTTAAGTAGTAGATGTATGGTTGGTGAGTCCTGGCGTTTAGTTTTCGTTTTGTTATTTTCCCATTTTTTGTTTTGTTTTGTTTTCTTTTCACTTAGCTAAATTCATAACAATAAGTGCACATTTCTTTCATTTCATTTAATAAACAAAATTAAAAACAATGAAATGAAAATTATTAAGTATTTAACATTAAACGCATGGCATAATTGCGTTATATGTTGTACTTTTGAAAAAGTGCATTGAATTGTAAAGTTTTGAGATTAATCGGTAATTTTAAATTTCTCGTGTGTGTTCAGGTTCTAGGGGGATTATCATAATAACTTAAACAATAAGTTACAAAAAACCTTGTTTTTCAGTATTTTCTTCTTCTCCGTCTTCTTTTGTTTCTTCATCCTTGATAGGTATAGGCTAAGTATGTAGTTAATTTTGCCATCTTATGAATGTATAAGTATGTATGCATGATGATTTCGAATGGGTGGGTAATGTGTATGAACATGTAGGTAAATTGGATTACGTGGCGATGTTTGTGGACATGGGCATTGGACAGTGTCGGTGTGTGTATGAATTATAAAAAAATAATTTACACAATTATTTCACGTATAACACGACGATTCCGTGAATTCGGTGTGGACGAATATTCACCCTCAAAACTATCATCGTAACTCAGAGACATGTGCTGTTGTGGCGATATAACTTCATCTTGTTCCATATGTTCCATATTATATGGATTTGGCAGACCGCTTACGTCGTGATATGGTGAATCTGCAAATGACACGAGAAAAAGAGAGAAAAAAAAAATAAAAAATTAATTTCATTTTCGAATACAGCAGCAGTTGTTTTTTTCCTACACAACTAAATAGAAAATAACAATTAAATGTATTTAAAAATAAAATTAAATTATTTTCGTGTATTCGGTGGCATTCAAATTCTAAAATACAACTCAATATTGGAACAATGTATCTAGGGTACGAGCATGTGTGTGTAATGGTGGTGATGTAATGATATTGTGTAATGACCAAATGAAAACTGGTGCGCAATAATCGTGTAAACAAAAACCAAAAAACGAAAACTTTTTCGTAAATATTTTCCTAAGACTCAGAACAGATAAACTTACATTAACAGCACTCTGTTAGAGCGTAACGTCCTGTATTATATCCGCTGTAGATATTTGATAGCATTTTCAATTAACAAACAAAAAACCCAAAAACAAAATCAAAACAAAAAAGTAAGAATTACAGGAATAAAAAAGACATAGAACAAAAACCAATTGGTTAGTTTGAAACAATTTTTTTTTCAATAAATTTATTTTATTTATATTTTAAAAGATAAATCAATTGTAAATTTGTGCAACAGTTTTACATGGAACACAGGAATTGCATTCTCGCGAAAAATATAAAGAGCAGGAAATGCCCGCGTTTTCGTTGTACCCAACTGGTGGTTGATGTTGTTCCCAGCAATGGTCAGTACCAACAGTTACAGTCCGATGTAAATCCGTTAACCTTCTACCATGTGTTCTCATTCATGTTTCTGACAATAATTCGCAACAATGATTTTGTATTGGAATACGTTGAGAAAAAGGGTTATTGTAAAATTTAAATTACAGATCATCGAAGACAAGCAATTATTTTTAAACCCAAAACTATATAGATTTTTATTTATAACAAATATTCTAAAAGCAATCAATCAAGAATTTTGAATGTTGAAGCCTTGCGTTGATAATCATACCCGAATTTTATATTCATATAAATTTTTTGTAATATATTCAATGAAGTATAGGATTTTATTTAACATATTTCTTGCAATAAATACAAAATATATTCCTTAACTCACAGGCTATCTAACAAGTCCTATAAAAAATAGAAAAAAACTATACGCATTGTTATACAACAAAACAAATAGAATTCATATAAATCAACAATTTCTCCGATTATAACCATAAACTGATGGATTTCGGGTATTATTATTTTGGGGGCTGAAATAAAATGACTCTAAGCAAAGCCTCTTGGACAAAGCACCTGTTACCAGGATGATGACGACAACAGCGACGACGGCGACGACGTATATAGGCTTAGGTGTAATACTCTTGTGAATGAATATGTTTTGGATGGAATATATATTCCTCTTGACATACGCCCACACTCGCACACACACACCCACACAGTGTTCATTACCAAACCCATACATACTTGTCTGCATTGAGTATGCAAACATTTTCATATTGAAATGTGACAAACATTCACTCAACACACTCACTCACAGTGTAGTATAAGGCTTTGGGGCATATGTGACAATCCATGTGTGATATGTGAATGTGTGGATGTGAGCTGTTCTCGCACCGACTTGCTCTGTTTCCTTTCATTTTGTGTGTGTTTTCCATTTTCATTTCCGGCGGCAATATCAAAGTTATCTAAAGACGTCATGTGTTCTGGTTATGAAATTGCTTGGCAGCTTTGTATTGTATTTGAGGTGATGAACAAAAACAGAAGAAACAAAAAAAAAAAAAAAACGAAGCGAACTTTATAGAAGTTCATATTCGTATTGGGGCCACAGGGAGAGAGAGAGATCAAGGAGAACAGAGGATTTGACTATATTAAATGGATTCTGCCATTATAGTTCTTTGTCCCAGTAAATAAGGCTGGTGATTGCTCCAAATTCATCTTTAAGACTTAATGCAGTAGTCCCATTTGAAGACTTCTTGAATTTGGGCTACTAAATAACTCAATGCTTGTCTTTAAAAGTCATTTATTTATTAGATTTTGAGTTAGAGTGCGAGTGTGTATGTATGTGTATGCGTACCAACACATTTTCATTGATTTCGAGATGGTAAATTTCTGCACCAAACGATACTTATTGCTTTTTTGCAGGCAACCTGTAATGATAATGTTTACGGCAATACATTCCGACCACAATCTAGTCTAGTCATCAGTTTTATCTGTCTGCCCCTGTGTCTGGCTTACCAGTTACTCCTCTTGCTCTTTGTAATTATCTATGAGTTTACAAACAAACAAGTACTCACACGCACATACATACACACACACACACCAACAATATAAGTACATCATCGATAAATTTGTATGTATGTGTGTTGTGTAAAATTCCTCTGTTTTAGCATTCACTATTCATTGACGCATAAATGTTGCAGAGGGCTGTCTCGATCATCATCAATTACCCCTATTGACCAATACATCTTCCATTTACTAGATACCAAAAATAAATGTTGTTGCTACTCATTCTGTGTGTGTTCAACTTTTGACCCTCTCTTGACACTTGGCAACAACAGCAACAGCAAGCAACCAAACCCTTTTACATTCATCTTTTGACCTGTGGCAATTGAAATACTATTTTTTGCTTACTTCCTCTTCGTTGACCAAATGAAGCAATTACATGGCAGCAGTAGCTGGACAGTAGAGTGTATATCAAACGGATGGATATTCTATGATTATTCTAGTCGTTTTATTTACTTTAAAGGTACAGTGGATTGAAACTATACGAATCTGTTTTGATTGGAAACTCCAGAAAAAAAAATCATTGTATAAAAAATGGGAAGGCAATTTTGGATACATAAAATATGATTTGGATTTCGGTGAAGAAATAAATCTGAGATATATAATTATTTGCAACTATTGCCGAAAATGTAAAATTAAAACATTTTTACTTCAAAATTTCAAGTATTCTATCTATCAATTGAATTGCCTGTTAGATCTTTTATACATTAAAAGGATTATGATTTTATTTTATTTTAAACAACTATAATAATTTATTGCACTTATCAGTAGCCATTAGCGCATGTTTGACCTCTATTTCATTCAATTTTTATAAATTGTAAAATGTGTTTTTCTTATATTGCAATAAATTGTCATTTTACTCAACAAATATATACACTTAATTTTTATGTGTAACATTGTATGTGTTCGTGTGTGATTATTTATTTTCTGTAATTATTTTTTTCTCTTTTTTTGTAGCATTTCATCAATAACAGTCATTAATTTATGGCCGAATGTGTGTGTGTGTGAGCGGGTGTTTGAGTTTACTTGTTTTGTTGGTAAATGGTTTGTTTTTTTCTTTCTTTTTTTTCAATAAACCACATTCGGAATTCGAATTAAAAAAGAATAACGACAACGGTACGGAAACGGACATGGAAATGTGTATGGCTGTTTGTATTGTTCAACTATATTTCACCTGTTTGAATTCTGTTCAGGCCATCCACAAATTAACAAGAATTGTCCTCGTCAAAAGCCTTGGTGGGACACCAATTCAAGCCACAAATACATTAAACAAAGTTACGAATTTTGTGTGTGTGTGTTTTTATTTTGCTGTGGAAAATGTTTGCCTGTGTTCGTTAATATATTCCATTCGATGTTATTTTACTATTATCACAGCTATATTTTATGTAAATATTGTGGCAGATGAAATACAGGGAGAACGAGCGAGAGAATGGTAGGTGAAAGAAAGTGGAGTCGTGATGTTCATACTACGACCACTGCGAAAAAAGAATTGAAATCGTAATGGGGCATACATGTTCTTTCTGGCCTATAACATGAATGGAAATTGACAATTTCCGTATCCTGTTATCTGATTGGAAATTCAACATGGCAACTGAACGTTTGTCCAATGCAATGCACATTATACTTTACAGACTTTATTTAATTCTTGTTTTTCTTTTTTTTTTGCAAACCATGCTCCCCCACCATTGTCGTATGCGTGTTAGTGGGTGGTTTGGGCGATGCATGTACATTTCAAGGATCACATCAATTGAGAATTCACTCACATGCAAGGACTCATTCGTCATTATTGAAATGTACTGTCCTGTCCAGTTGGCCGACCGATAAAAGCATACCTAACCAAATACAAATACGCACACAAACATACAATTGGCATGTGTTAACCTGATTGCAAGTGTTTTCAATTAGCAATATGCATGTATGTTTATGTGTGTGTGTGTGTGCATAGCCAAATTTATTTATTTTTAATTTAAATGAACGGGGACAAAAAATGTAAAAGAAACTATTTCATGAACTTCCTTCAACAAATCTCGTAAATGTTTTTATTTTCTTTTTGTTAGAAATTTATTTTGATAAGAAATTTGTTTTTATTTTATTTATAAAAAAGCAAAAATTAATTTATTTTATTCACTGAAGGGAAAAAGAAGAACACCTGAAAACAATTTAAGCAATTTATATGTTTGTTTTCAAAAATTTGTAAAAAGGGGTATCATTTCCTTAAAATAAGCAATATTGGGATCATATGCTTTATTGTCAATTTTTGAAACAGGGAATATTTTCATATTAATGTAAAATGTTGTAAACATTTTAATAAATAAAAAACGTGACTTTAAAATATTAAATAAAAAGATTTCAAGTACAGCTTCAGAATAATCAGTAATATGTAAAGTATATCATTTCGTATGTGACTCCATATAGTAAACCCATAAGGATATAACATTTTACAATTATTTAAGAAAAGAAAAACAACTTTTTTTTTACTTAATTAGTTTATTTTCATTTTAAACATTAAAAGTAAACGGGTTACCAAATTCATTTGAAATCGTACAAAACAACATTTTCAAACTAGCCTTTGAAAATGTCAAAATCATTGCACCCTGAGTACATTAATTTTGTCTAAGGAAAACAATTCAAACTTTTGCTCTGAAATTTGATTAAGGTTTTGTTCAAATGCCTTCAAACAATTTCTAAACTTCCTGACAAATGATGGCAGTTATGAAATTACTACAAAAAAGAAAACGATGAGAAAAGAACAACACT